AGCCACGAGACATGTGGCAAGGTATAGATTAATGGAAATGGATTAATTTAAGCTGAAAGAACAGTTAGCAAGAAGCCTGCCATGGCCATACAGTTTGAAACCAATACAAGGCTCTGTGTTTACTTGGTCGGGTCTGACGGCTGTGGGACTGGCAGGTGAGAGAGATTTGCCCTGACTGTGGGCCAGGCAGGAAAACTCTACCTAGATATGTATGTGTGTGTGTTAGTGTTTTTGTGTTGTGAATGTGTTTCCTTTGTCTTTGTTGATGAGAACAAGTTGTTCTTGGAGTGAATATTCCTGTGCAGAGTGAGCATCCATTACCAGTCCTGCTGAGAAAAACATAAGCACATATGGTGGGGCTTTACTTTTGTTTAAAAAAAAAAATCTCTCTGTTTTTGTGCTTTGTTCTATTCTTCTCTGTGAAATGGTAACAATTTTTCAAATAAAAAAATCTCTATGGTAATTCTTGAAATGTTTTATCATTACTCTTACATTCAGAAGTAAAAGGGATAATGATCTATAGAAATTCCATAAAGGAAGTAAAACACATTTATTAGAAATAATTGTATTTAATTTAGAAATCATATTTGTGTACACAAATTTAAGTCAACAGGGCTAGGTTTTTAAAGCCAACTGGAATCTTCAATCATTCATTGAATGATGATGGCACTGTTTCTCCCTGCCTAAGTATAGATGGCAAGATGTTAGAAGTGAAACTGTCTGGATAACAAAAGGGCCAGACTGGAAGGAGAGCGGGTAGAGAGGACAGGAAGTTTGGGGCAAATATTCCCACAGTCCCATGTACAATGAATATACACAACCACAAAAAACATTTACACACACACACACACACACACACACACACACACACACACACACACAACACACAACACACATATAATGCCTGTGTATTGTTTATTTAACACATAGTTTAATGAAAAAATTTTCTTCCATAAATACTGTAAGAAATCGCCAAGGAATTTTGAATGTTAGTATTTTTTGTATCCAAAATACGTACATATAATTTATAGTAAAGTGTCCAAATTTCACCTTTAGCTCAGTGGTTTTTTATTTTAATAAGCACCAACGATTAACTGAGAACCAATCAAGAAGCTGTATGAAGTTCTTTCTCTAGGGTTTCTTTGGAGGTGGCACTTACAGTGATTTATTACATGGTTGATTGCCTTTCAAATTTAATAAATCATAGAGTCTATTCTGAATCATCATTTCTGTCAGGCTGTGGGACTTTTCAGTCTTTTCTAGTGTAGTTGTGACTCATGCTTTCTCATTGTTGGACTGTTTGTTTTTGTGCAATCAGTATTATCACACACAGATAAAACAGTACAATGATGAGACTGAATCACACCTACACTAGAAAAGCCTGGCAAGTGCCACATCCAAGAGAGTTCCAGTCACCTGTGTCCTTGCCAACACTTGATGTCCCCCATCTTTTACACTTGAACCATTTTAATGTGAACATTAGAATATGTCAGACTGTCATTACTCTTATAAAACAAGGAAAAGTAAATGCTTTCTTTTTGTTTTGTTTTGTTTTGTTTTTCAAGACAGGGTTTCTCTGTGTAATTTTGGTGCCTTTCCTGGAACTCGCTCTGTAGACCAGGCTGGCCTCAAACTCACAGAGATCCTCCTGTCTCTGCCTCCCAAGTGCTGGGATTAAAGGTGTGTGCCGCCACCACCGCCCGGCCAATTGCTTTCAATAAATCATATGCCACTTTAATTTTTAATATGATTTGTAATGTTTTTACTACCCAAATAATAATAAGAGTAGGTAACTCAAATATTTAATGATAGAGTAGGTGAACTTATGGTTCTGTAACTGGACTTGTACAGTTAGCTAACTATCATAAACTGTGGTAATAAAAACACCAAGAAGCAAACAATTCCTCAGGTTAACACCAAGCCCCATCGGTGCCTGTTAAAATACTTCCTGGTCTGATTCAGAGTGAAAGTGAGAGGAGAGGGAGCTATGAGTGACAGTCTGAGGAAGATTTACCAAGGGCTTAGAGGATCCTCGGCCAAATGGAGCCATTGGAGGAGGTCTGTGTTTCCAAACATTGGACCTGCTTTCCCATCCCACCTCTCTCAGTAACTAAGGGCCAGATGTAGAAATAGATGTTTTACTGAGACGCCAGATAATTTTATACTCCTGGGGTTCTTGTTTTTTTTTAGTTCAATTAAGCCAAAATTTGTGATCACCAAACAGAATTCTAATGGTAAATTGACTGTCCCCACATCGAGTAACTAAAAAAATGTATGAATCGTAATTATTATGTTATATATTTTGTTTACTGCTCTAGTTGGTGGTGGGACCAGGGAGAATGGAGCTAGTAAATGAGGTGGACTAAACTCTCACACACTAACCAACATTATTCAGAACATCAGACAATTTATACTCTGAAGGTTAAGAGGAGTTATATAAATAAAATGTACAAACACAAGGACAAGTTGCATGTGACAAAAACATGTTTTTCCATAGAGGAATATAAACAAATAACAGTAGCCTGTTGTAATGAATAATCTGAAGTATATTCACTTCTATCTTATTGTTGTGGGATGGTCTGTTTGTCAAATGTGTTGCTGATTTGTCAATAAATAAAACACTGATTGGCCATTGGCTAGGCAGGAAGTATAGGCGGGACAAGGAGGAGAATAAAGCTGGGAAGTGGAAGGCTGAGTCAGAGAGACACTGCCAGCCGCCGATGACAAACAGCACGTGAAGATGCCGGTAAGCCACGAGCCAAGTGGCAAGGTATAGATTTATAGAAATGGATTAATTTAAGATATAAGAACAGTTAGCAAGAAGCCTGCCACGGCCATACAGTTTGTAAGCAATATAAGTCTCTGTGTTTACTTGGTCGGGTCTGAGCAGCTGTGGGACTGGCAGGTGAGAGAGATTTGCCCTGACTGTGGGCCAGGCAGGAAAACTCAAGCTACATCTTATCCCTTACACCTGGGAGGGGCACAAAACCACATTCCAAGAACAATTCTAGGTTTTGAAGAAACTGTGATCACAAGTCTTGTTTTATTAGAATTTCCTTACAAGCACTCAGAATTCTCTTTGCAGGACTCTATTTTTGGACCAGGTTCTGACCATATTTATTTACCCATATTATCCATCCTTTTTATGAATTCTCAACACATTAATTAAGGAGTCAAATATATAATGTGCTCAAAACATTGAGACAATGATGTATACTAGGCAGTCCTTAGAAGATCAAGGTTGATTGAGTCCTTGGTAGTTAAGAATAGGATGCAGTCACAAATGTAAGCAGACTCTACCTTCTGCTTCTTCCTCCTGGCATATACTTCCCAATCCCCGGTGGATACTGGACAAACACCTCTATGTTCTGTTGTAGCTGCACAAAAAGTGAGTTCTGGATTGTTTTGAAAACAGCAAGATTTAAACAATTGCCTGTTACAGATTTGTAACTTTTCATATCTAGTTAGTATTATCAATGTCTAAGTTTCTATTATTTAATATTTAGAATTGTTTAACTCTCATTTTGAAATGACTATTCCCTAAACTTACTCATATGGCTGTGCTCTTAAGAGTAGAACATAATTTCATTTTTTTCAAAGATTTTTTTTTACTTCATTAGGAACTTTTAGGAGAAGGCATGTTAACAGTTGTGACAAACTCCTCAAAGGGAAGGAAGGGAAAGTGCATTAAATTAATGTGAACATCACCTTGGAAAGTCCCTGTAGCTTTCCTATTGTCATAACATAAAAAGCAGATCACTAGCGGAGGTGTGACTCACAGAGGGTGTGATCCCCCGGCAGTAGCTGGCCCTTCCACCTTGTAGACAGAGGCCTTAGCGTTCTCCCCTATTATGTTGTCCACATGTTTTCTTCATTTTCCTTTGAAGAATGGTATCCTCTGCTCCAGAAATCTCATTAACCATTCCATGACGACTTAGTGTTTCCTGGGTTAGCAGCTCACTTAGTAGTCTTTTTCTTTCCTGTTTTTCCCCAAATTTCTGAATCCAGACAGACTTCCCCATAGTTGTAGTGTGTATCATCTGTTTGCTTTACAGTGGCTGTGTACAACGCTTTCATGTTTACTCCATAGTGATGCATTCGACTGCTCACTTGACTGATAAAGCCATAGTATACCGTCTGAAAACAAGTGCAATTATGTGGCTGAATTCTACTAGGTAACTTTGAAATCTATTAAAATGTAATGAACAAATGTATCAATGAATGGTTTAATTGGCATTGGCATTTTATATTTCTAGGTTGGTAATGAGCATTGTGAGAACAAGAATTACACCTCCCTTTTTACCTAGTCTGTTAGTACAGAATGTTGAATAGAGTAGGAATTGATACATTTTGGAACTTGTGAATTTAAATATTTTCATGTACAATAAGTTGATACTACATTACAGTCATTTGGTGAAAGTAACAGGACATTCTAGTATGTTCTACTGCCTGTGAAATTATCCCATTACTAATATTTGCGTCTTAGTGAAAGTATATTATTTCTTCTATCTACAAAAGATTTTGTGGATTTTATGTCATTATAAAATTAATAGTTTTGGCTTGTATATCTAAATGCATATATATGTATATAAAATATATGTGTTTGTACATACATACATTTGCACTGGGGCTTATCTAAATAATGCATAAAATACAGTATACATACACTGTGGGTATAGACATACATATATAATTTAGCCAGAATTATTAACATCACAATACACACACACACACACACACACACACACACACACACACACACACACACTCACACTTTTTATCATGTTGTTAAACATAGTTAAAATCCATTTTTTTTTGTTTTCACTATAAGCATTTCACCTCAGTGGGATGATGCAACAGTTTGTCCATCTATGTTTTGAGAAGCACAGTCCTGATGTCTGTTCCTAGAATGAAATTCTGGACCCAAATGTCTCAAGCAGCTCTGAAGGCTGCTGCTGACCAGGTCTCTAAGTCATAACTCTTTCCTTTCACTCTGTCAGCTATGCTCAACGTGTGGTTGGAAACGGAATGAAAGCCCAGTCTGGAAATCCTGAAGTCAGAGTCAGAGGAAGTGACCCTGTGATAAATCAGATCATTGATAAGCTGAAGCATGTTATCCAGGTAAGTGCTGGCTTGATTTTTATGGATATGCTCAACTGTAAATGAAGTGTGACTACTTTCCACATATTTGATAACTTTACTAATTGTATCTAATATCCTACCTAAATTGATCTTTGTAATAATTTATTTTTATCTAGAGTTCCAGAAATAGTTTTTTGAGCCATTATCATTTAAAGTCAATGCAGATGGTATGGTGGGTGATCTGTGTCTGTGAAAAGCAAGGCTTTGCCTTTCACATTTTAGCTATGAACTTCTTAGGGTATATACATCCTCAGTAAAGAATAAGCCTAGAAACTACTACTACTAAAGAAAACCATATCAGACCACAAAAGCCAGAACTGCCTTTCATATAACTATATGAACTTTGTCGTGAAAATAGCACTACCCTTAACCAAACAACACATAAATTATCTGCATTTCTGGTACTTATTTCACATTTTACATATTAAGTGTGTAATCTTCCTAGTGGGTGTTCATTAAATACTTCTGTTTGTTCTTTTATGTCATATGCGTTGATGTTTTTAATACATAATATATGAACTATATTCAGATAATTATCCAAAAATTATTTCACAAAACTGTTTATTAATTGGAATAATATGTTATGTATTGTAAATACTACCTGCATCCCACATTTAGTGCTATTTGATGCAGGAAGGAATATGCCTTAAGTTATTAGTCATTCTGTAACAATTTATGAATGTATATACTTTCATTTTATCCCAAACTTGGTGTAGATAGTTGATCATTTTAAGTATGATACTAGAGAAAATCTAAATAGCTCTGAATTTTATTTGTATGTAAGGTGTGTCTGAATCACTTGTATGATTGTCACCATTTCAGCTTATTCAGAGACAATTAGTTATTTGGACTCAGCTCATGAATCTCTAAATCCCAATAAAGCATAAGTAAGGGGACACAGAAGCTAGTGTACAAAGCAATAGATTTCCTTTAGCTTCATTGCTATCCTGTTGCACCCACAGTGGCACCTCAGAAATCCCTTTGAGTGGCAGAACCAGAGGTAAGTTCTGCTCAGAAAAACATGTCAGAGAAAAACACATGAGGAATAGCTGAGAGTACCCACACCCCTCAAACAGGTAAAGCTAAACCAATTTCCTCAAAGACAAAACTCCAACGTGAAATAGCTGTTATTGCTAATGAGTCAAATGCTGAGGTGGGTCTAGGGACAGAAAACCTTAAGATTGTATCAGGAGCAGAAGCAACAGGGAGGAAGAAGCAGGAATGTGTTGGCACCTGGCCCAGTAGCTGAGGTCACCTGGAGGTCTGTTGTCCTCAGAAGCAGTAGTTCTCAGACCATCAGTGACTATTCCTCACACATTCACTAGAAACTCGTTCTGCCAAATTTCCTTTTGATTGCAAATTTTCTTCTCCACAGCAACAAGAAGAACATTGCTGCTGAAATTGATCGAGACAGTGATAACCTAATGAGGCTTCAAGAAAACTTAGGATATTATTTTACTTCCTGAGTTTCTGTTGGCTCGAAGTCAATATATTAGCAACTGTATACACAGGTCATGTAAATGTCCACTGTATGCTTCTGTACATTTTTCTGAGTTGCAGGTTCCACAAGGAAAAGATACAGAGTGAGGATTTGTGGTTGAGTGTCTTGGCAATCAATTAGGATGCAGGAAAGTAAGATTGTTTAGAGAAATGAACAGAAATATACTGTAGTGGTTCTGGTACTAGACAAGTTTTATCATGACTCAACAACAACTCAGGACGGTAGACCCCTTCAGGTTGCTTGTAGAGACTCTAATATGCATATCTTTAGTCCCCAATGTGCACCAGACATTGCTAGATAATACTGGGATAAGGATGAGCTATGCTAACTCAGCTCTAATCAACAGTGGCCAAGGCAAGACTAAGACCTGTAGCTATCAGAGTGATTACCTTTTTTCAAAGTAACAACTCAATTAGTAATATCTAGTATGTGACTGGTTTGTAGGTATACATTGTTTGAAACTAATGCACAATTGATAATAAACCAGAATGTTAATAATAATAATCAGTTCATTGTACTGCGAGACAACACAATCTTCATGACTTCCACAGTCGGTTACAAATGACCTAGTGAGTGCACAATGTAGGCAGAGTTTTCCTGTCCCAACCACCTGCTCCCAAATAACTGGCAGCTGCTTCCCAAATAACTGACTCAGAGACTTGATATTAAATTATAAATCCTTGGCCAATAGTTCAGGCTTGTTACTAACTAGCTCTTATGACTTAATCCATTTCTATCGATCTATGTGCTGCCCTGAGGCTCATGGGATTTTGTATGTCTGACTCATTCTCCATCTGTCTAGTGACTCCTGTCTCTGCCATTCTTCCTCCCAGCAATTTCAGTTTGGCTTTCCCACTTAACCTTATCCTGTTTAGCTATTGGCCAGTCAGTTTCTTTAATATATATATAAAGTGGGCATGCGATCGAACTATTTGTATATCTATAATCTATATACCTATATATCTATATTAATATATATCTATCGATCATCTGTCAATCATCTATGATTTGTGTGCATATATGAAGAAACCTGTTGCACCTAATATGTCTATTGCTGCTGTTTATTGTCTAGGTAAGTGCACAGACCTAAGAACATAAACACAAAGGAATGGGTAGATCTCCAATCTTCAGACATTCATAAAAGGCCTGTGGAGAAGGCTTACTGATCTGTTGCCCTGCAGCATAGCTACATCCTTGTTAGAAAGATATCAAAGCCACATCTTTTTCAAGGGAAATGATTCTACTTTTTAGGCTCCTGTTCAGATTGCACCCCACTCTTTCATCTTTGTAGGTATGCAGATCTCAAATTATTTGGGCTTTCCTTTCATTGTAGAATTGCAAGAAAATATCAAATATATGCTGCCTTTGAGGTCTGAATTTAAAGTCTGCTGGGATCATATGGCTGAAAATTAGATTTTTGTAAAGGATCACAGAAAGTCATTTCCTGAACAGGTGTCACTAACACATTAACCTTTTGTACCTTAGAATATACTGCTTCATAAGCTGATTCTCCTGCAGGTGAAGAAAAAGTTTTTATTTTGCCAGACTTCTGACTCCTGATAATATATGTGCCCTGGCAATGTGGCTAGTGTCATGTGCAACTGTAAAGGACAGTTAACAGAATCCCTAGCGTTATTTGTGAGAATCCTCTGGTGTGAGGATTCATTACTTTGGGGGTAGTATGGGCTGAGTGAGGGCAAGGGCATCGGAATGATTTTCACAATCTAGTCTGTAGATTTAGATGAACATGTAAGTATTTGTGTAAAGCTGTTTTCACTGTGTGGATATTAGCTACATTTGCAAATGTGCACTGTGAAAAAATGCTGTACTTTCTAAGAGATGAATGTGCCCCTTGCCCTTTTGTCTGTATACAAGTATACAGAAATAATCTACCTCTATTTTTTGCCAGCAAAAATATTAGTAATAATTACCTCCATATGTTATTTCCAAAACACCTGTGTTCTTGGCCTGCTGTAGCTGTGACCTCATTTTCTCTAACTTCTGTAATTAATCACTAAGCAAGTGGGCAGAGATTTATGTTGAAATGGCCACATTTTCAATGTTTTTACAGTTATTTTATTAAATACATTTAACATATAATTTTTAAATTCATAGTTTGAGACTAGGTTTATGAAATAGTGAGACAAGGTAGATATGTCTACTCTCAGTGGATTTGCACTTTCCGATAATGTAAAAGAACAAACATCACAATAGCTGGCATGAATTACAAAGAAACACAATAGATTGGGAGAAGAACTCAAGAAGCCTGTGCTACTGAATGAAGAAAAGGAATGAGGAACGTTGGTGAGAACTCTGGGGCAAAAGGTCTGAAATTTCATTGTCTTTGTGGCATAAAAAGCACCAAGTTACAGCAGAATGGATGAACAGCAGAGACAGCCTTGAAGCATGCATGGGAGAATGTTTGTAGGCTCCAGTTACAAGTGTATGTTATTACACTAGAGTATGCTTAATACTAAATGGAAGAGGAAGACATTTAAAGTGGTCAGAGGATGACTTAATTTATGTTTTATAAAAACAATTTTGTCTCTATTGTGGAAATTGGACCTTGTGGAGAAAGAATCAAAGAAAATCATACAGGTGGAAGATGATAATAATTGGGACTTAGATGATCAGCATAGATAGTGATGAGAAGCAGATAGAGCCTGACAAATATTAAAAATGGAATTGGGCCGGGCGGTGGTGGCACACGCCTTTAATCCCAGCACTCCGGAGGCAGAGCCAGGAGGATCTCTGTGAGTTCAAGGCCAGCCTGGGCTACCAAGTGAGTTCCAGGAAAGGCGCAAAGCTACACAGAGAAACCCTGTCTCGAAAAACCAAAAAAAAAAAAAAAAAAAAAAAATGGAATTGGTTTATGGGTAGATTGGAAATAGGAGCTAGGAAAAGAACAAGGGATCAATTAGATGGTTCAGTGGGTAAGGCCATTTGCTGTAAACCCTGAAAACCTGAGTTGTATGGGGAACAGAAACATATAACAATGTTGCCATGGTGCTGAAGGGTGAGGTAGAACTCTGCCAGTGACCAGGAAATGCTAGCAGTATGGACCATTTAGATGTGTGAGAGACCAAATCAGAAGTCCCTTAGCAAAGTTAGGATTAACAAGGCATCCCCACAATAGCCAAAAGAAGTACCTGCCTTCCATCCTGCCTTACCACATGATCTCTACTCTTTGTAGTTCTCCTTTCTGTGTGTTGTACGTACCCAGATGTACCCAGATGTGTGTTCGCTTACCTACATATGTATACATTATAGACTAGGATCTGCATACAAGACAAAATCCGCCTGAGTTAGGAAAGAGACTATAAAGCTATTTATTTCTTTGTTTTTATTTTTAACTCTACCATGAATTTTCTTTCTTTTTGTGGTAAAGAATATATAAAATTGTAATTGCTAGTGGAAATATGAAATCCATTGTGAAGCCCCACAGCTTCAGAATGGCTGTTCTAACAGTATAGAAGTT